AAAGAAAGAAAGAAAGAAAGAAAGAAAGAAAGAAAGAAAGAAAGAAAGAAAGAAAGAAAGAAAGAAAGGAAAGAAAGAAAGAAAGAAAGAAAGAATAGGGGGAAAAACTGCTTTCCTGTTTATTGACCTTTAACTGTATATCTGTTCACAGACTTGCCTGGTCAAATCCATGTCAAAAGCCAGGGAACTAATGCTGTTGTCACATGGACTCCAGAATACAATCCGAAATGTTTTGTGGTTGACTGGGGCACTGGTAAAGAGGATATGCACATGAAAATAATAACTACGACTACCGGAAATTTCACATTAGGTAACAGCAACCACCACACCTTCTATGGAGGCAGCCTTTCATTTCTTGGTTATTTTTGGTTTGGCAGAGTAGGAATTTTGTTCTGTTTTTAAGGGCAAACTGAAGATCCATCCTTAAATTTGTCCAGTATTGAGTCATCATCTAATGCTTAGCAACACCAAGGCAGATAAAAAGCAGAGTTTTCATTGGGGTTCATCTGGATACTGTCGGGCAAGTAATGCAGCTAAGATATTGGTACAGTCCCCTTGCCCACATTCCAGGCAGACCCAAAAATTACTGGCTTTAAAAACCCTTTCATCTTGTACCTAGGTAAGCTTATCTTTCAATATAAACTACTTTGTTACATACATCTCTAAGATTAATTTATATTTTTATACCAACATGTATACTTGTCAAAGCCTAAGTTCTCAACTCCAGTATTCTGCTTACCATGCTAGACATGATAGGCTTCAGCCAGGGATTTCTTTATGGAACAGACATTGAAAATCTTGATTAAAGTCCTGCAGGTGACTCTTGCAAAGGCCATTCAACTCTGGTTTTTATGTACAATAGAGACCATTTAGCTTCAGAGTTCTGCAAAGTCTTCTAGAGGGTGCACTGATTACCTTAGCCCTTCTTCAACATCTCTAGTGCCACATTACATCATCATTTTTGTTTGGGGTTATCTATTCTAGCTGAGTGGGAAATACCTATCCCTGAAATAAGATAACTACAGCCATTTTAGCTCCCAATTTCTTCTTCAGCAGCTAAAGCCTCCCATAGGGAGACAATAAACACATCTGTTATTTTTTAAAAGAAAACCCATGTTATGTCTCATTCTGGCTTTGAAATAGTTTGCATCAAGCATCTAGAGACATTGAAGAAGGATGTACATATTTTGTACTCAATGTAAAGCTTTATACACTGATGTTATGCTATGAGTCTCAGAAAGCAGGAACTATACAGAAAATCTATGAAGCTGTTGATAGCCTCTTCATTATCATTTATAACTTTTCAGTAAACCTTGACATATCTTTTTTGTTTTCCAGACAATTTTCAGCCATATAAGTTGTACAAAATAATGGTACATGCATCTGATGTGTGTCAGTGTGAAAGTTTCACAAGACATGAAAAAACATTTGGACTGACCCACTTTTACTCCGTTGAAGGAGGTATTCCTTCCCTTTGTATAAGCCCACCCTCTACATTTCTTCTTGTTTCCTATTTGCAGCAATACAAGGAGACTACATAAAATTTATTTTCCAGGTGACTGAACAGCTTTCTCCAGTTAGCATTGCCTTTATTCTTAGCAGTTGTGTCCCAGCAGTGAATGACCTGAGTGCTGTTCCTTACTGACAAGTCCACAGAAATATTTTTATTATGTGTGACATTACCAAAAATAACAAAAATATGGTCTTAGACCCATGTGGCTCAAATTTAAATTAAATCAGATTTTCCAATCCAAATTTCATATCATTTTGTATTGCAAGTTGAAAGGAGCATTGCTATTGTTATTGGAATAAAATATTCATAATGAGACAGCAACAATTCCTACCTACTTTGGTATCGTTTTACTGTTTGAGGTGAAGAGTTTTTACTCCATGGGATTTTGCCTTTCTCTTGCATCCTTTAGACTGTATTTATAGCATCTAGAATCTGACAGGAACTCTCTTGAAAACAGCTGGGTTTCACTCTTGTATGTATATTGCAGAGATACAGATGAAGAACTCATATATCGGTTTTCTTTTAGTTCCTAGGACTGGTCCTGTTAATGTGACGGTTCTGAACATCACAAAGAATTCTGCACTTGTGAAGTGGACTGAAATAGCTGCAGAAGACCGTTTGGGCTTTCTCCAGGGATACAGGATCAGATACACAGATTCATCAACAAAAAAGTCTCCAGGTAAGCCACCATTGCCAGAACAAAGCAGCAGCTCAGTCATGAAAGAAAAGCTCTATTCAGACCATCAAGTCTACTGAGTTATTTATGATTGCTGTGCAAATTGAGTGCTCTGCTCTTAAAGGTCAGCTCCTGGTTAGATTTTTTATGCTCTAGATGCTCTCACGAGCACTTAGAATTTTCTAGATATTATCTCAAATTAAATATTGCTATTTCCTTAAAAATACATTTCTAAGACTATGGCAGAATTCTCTAGGAAGACTTAAAGGAAGACATACATTTTCAATATTATGATTTCAGTCACAACACTTTCATGTTTCATTGCACATCATCCAAGCTTGAGTCTGAGCCTTTATATAAGGCATTCTAGAGTTAATTTTTCAACTCAATTAGCAGCTTGTATTTCTTACCTGTTTCCAAAGACACCATTATAAATTAAATTTTGGAAACATTTTCTTAAATTGGTAGTTTTTATGTCTAAGTTCAGACAACCATAAAGGTCTTTTCTGACCTTAACAAACTACAAATGATGAAATTTCTATACATTGGAATAAATTAATAGTTGTGAATTCACTCGAACTTTCTATTTTAAAAAATCCCCATATTCTTTTGATAAACATTTTCTTTCTGGTCTAGAATGGAAATTCTCTTGGCCATAAGTTATAATGCATTAACTTTGTACATACTGACTTTCAAATAAATTTCAAGACATGCTTAGGAAGACAAATATCACCTAAGAGTTGACAAAGGGATAAGAGTTCTGTAACTCATGTTGATTCATGCCTTTAGAGAGCCATAAAAATTCTTCTGGAGATACTATTCCACTTAAAATACCTATCTGACATCACAAGAGGAGGCAGAATGGGAACATCTAGGACTGAACCTAATTTCTTTATATTTTGCTCTACCTTAACCAGTCAATACAGCAGTGGTATGGCACCCAATTGCCATTTTTTTCTAGGCAGGAAGTATAATTTTACTGGAGAATCTGGGGAAAGGAAGTCCATAGACTACAGCATTACATCCATTTCTGTGAAGATCTTAAATCCACAGTGGCAAACTTAAAAAGTAATTTTTTCCGCATTAAAGGCATCCTTAAAACATGGCTGTTTGTACATTATTCTGGCCAAGGGAGAAGTCACTGCACCATCTGAAAAGAAAGGCTGAGCTGAAAACCCCAGAAAGCAGGTAAAGCAGAAAGCATAGCCCTGTTTCTGTACTGAATTATGAGTAATAGTGCTGGAATAAATCAAGCTGAACAAGTACTGACAACGGAAATGAGAGTAAGGTGTATGATAAGGGCTAGTCCTAATGGTAACTGTTAGAGTCAACAAAAAAACTACTGTTCAGCATGTTAGATATATTTTCCTTTCATGAAGTATGCACAGCCTTCTGTATTCACCACGTGTGATGGCTTGTCCCTGGCTGGATACCAGAGCCACTGAATGCCAAAGCCTCTCTATCCCTTCTCCCCTCAGGGGAGAGAAAATGTAACAAAACACTCACAGGTTGAGATAAGGACTAGGAGAGATCACAGATTACTGTATGGGCAAAACAGACTCGACTTGGGAAATTAATGGAATTCACTGCTGATAAAATTCAGAGTAGGATTATGACAAGTAAAACCTTTAAAACACCTTTCTCCACCACTCCCTCCTTCCCAGGCTCCAGCTGTTCCCCACCAGCAGCACAGGGAGACAGACTGGGAGTTACAGTCAGTCCATTACAGATTGTTTCTGCCACTGCTCAGGGAGAAGAGTTCTTCTCCTGCTCCAGTGTGGGTTGCCTCCCATGGGAGAGAGTTATCCATGAGCTTCTCCAGCATAAATCCATCCCATGGGCTACAGTTCCTCACTAACTGCTCCAGCATCCACAGTGTTCATTTCAGTCAGGATTAAGTCCTTCAGCACAGCTTGCTCCAGCATAGATACCCCATGGTGTCACAAGTCCTACCAGGACCCTGCTCAAGCATGGGCCTCCTGTGAATTCACAGCTTCCTCTCAGGCATCCACCTGCTCTGGCATCCACCTGCTGTGGCCTGGGTCTCCTCCAGGGGCTGCAGGTGGATCTCTGCATCCCCATGGCCCTCCATGGGCTGCAGGGGAACCTCAGCTCTGGCCCCTGGAGCAGCTCCTGTTCCTCCTTCACCAACCTTGGTGTCTGCAGGACTGTTCCTCTCACATATTTTCACCCTGCTCTTCTCTGGCTGTAATTACATTTGCACAGTAACCTTTTCTTTCCTTCTTAAATCTGTTATCACAGAGGCATTAGCACCATTTCTAACTGGCTCAGCCTTGGCCAGCAGCACATCCGTCCTGGGGCCAGATGGGATTAGATCTGTTGGACATTGGAAGTTTCTGGCAGCTTCTCACAGAAGTCACTCCTGTAGCACCCCTGCTACCAAAACTTGGACATACAAACCCAATATAGCCTTGTCGTGTTAAAAGCTTATGTTTTTAACATCTGAATTTAAAATGTACATAAATATTTTGGAGAAATCTTGTACCCATCCAAAGAACATCTGAACAGTCTGGTTCCTTCAGATGAGGACACTGAAATTTTGCCTTTTCCCCAGTCAGCTACACTGATACATGCTCAGCCATGAGAGTTAATCTAATCATCTCCTCCCAAAACCTCTTGTGTTTCAGCTGTTACTCTCAACTCTTCTATCACAAGTTACCATCTTACTGGACTGAAGGAAAAGACTACCTATCGTGTGCAGATTTCAGGATTCACTAATGCTGGGGAAGGACCTCTGACTCTTTCACAACCTTTCAGCACTCCAAAATACGGTACTGTGGAAGCTCTATGCATCTGCATTACCCTGCATGAATCTTTGCTTTATGCTCTCTCTGTGCTCACTCACAAGATTTATTATTCAATCCTCAGTTACTGAGAGCAAACACAAAAAATTGTTCCTCTGCAAGAGGTAAACTTTGTGTCATAGAACAACTCTGCCTGTATTTCATTACCTGGTATACAGGGAAGACTTAGCTAGGATTCTTCATCTCTGAAACCTTTTCTGACCTTTTTGTGCTAACTGTGTGCACATATCTTTATTTATTGACAATTACTATCTAGATTTTAGCAGCTGAAATTTCTGACTGTGACTAACAATGTTCAGTCGTCTGCTCTTCACAAAATCCTGAGCAATCATGTAAAATTTGCTTCCTGAGCCACTAACTGCAAAAATAAAAGATTTAGTACTTTTCAATTGCTCCTAGTGTGAGGAAATATTAATCAACGTATCTTTTGCTTTCTGATAATTTAAGCATTTTTTAAAGTAACAGATCCTTTAGGTCATTGGCAAAAGTTTGCTTTTCTCAGAAGTGCCTGGTTAGGCTAAGACAAATACAGTTACATTTAAAAAGTCCAAAAAGGTAAAATCATATAGGGCTGGCTAAACTTATTCTTTCAAGCATTTTTAACACTTCATCAGTTAAACTAAAACAGCAACACACTTTTTTTTTGTTTGACCACAGCTTCCCTTAATGGAGAAAAATAAAAGAACATGCTAAGATGGTATCAGTAACCTGTGATACTCAGAAACAGAAGTGTGCAAATGGCTTCTCCCAGCATTTTTGTATTAAGTGAAGGAGGTATAAAATCATACAACTAAATAGTCAAAAGTGTAAAGCACAGATAAAAAATTTTAAATCTTCCTTGTAATCAACAGGATTTGTTGATTACAACAAAATATCCATCCTCCCTCTACTTAAAACTTTCTCCTGTCAACACAAAATATTGAAGTGTCTCCCTGGAGCTTTTCTTCAAAAGCTCTATTTCACTCATCCTATCAAATATATATTTGGAGAGTATTCAATTTTTCAGTAAAGTAACAAAAATGCAGAGTGAGAATTCACTGAATTTCAACATTACATTCACTATTTTTGTTCTCCCCAAATATTTCACAGGTTATTTAATCCATCAGAAGAATCTCAGGCTCCTTTGCTTTAAAAAACAAATTTCAGCAACAAAGCAACTTGCTGCTTTCCAAATTAGTTTTTTAATATTATGTGGCTGTTTGGTTAAAAAAAAAAAAAATTGTTGGGGGATGGGTAGGAAAAGAAGAAGAAAGTGGTTTTTTTTTGCAAATATGGTTTGTCAATATCAGTGACACAATCATGAACTGACCACAGTCTACTGGCACTATTTTTAAATTTTTATGTCTCCATCTATAAAGAAGACCTCTACACTGACTACACACTCAACATCACAGTCAGTTTTGGTTCCTGTGTTAAACTTGATGCCTAGAAAGCCTACAGAGGCTAGACAGTGTTAAAGGAATAAAGAAGGCATTTAATAAAAGGCCTTCAAAGGATACACCTTGGGCAGTACAAGAGCCCGGACATGGCTCCATCCAAGATGGACTCCAGATCATGAGTTTTCACACTTTTGTAAGTTTTGGTCCATTTACATATTGGACAAAACAAAACACCCAAAAAACAAACGAAACCAACCAAAACAAAACAAAACAAAAAAAAACCACCAAAAAAACCCCAAAGCCCCAGAAAACAAAAACCTATACCAACCAACCAACCAACCAAACCCCCTAAACACTACTAGTAAATCCTGAAACAGATTAAAATCCACTTTCACTCGAATACTTTTTATTAAGGCAAACGTGCATGAGGGTCCTGAGCTGCTAAACAAGCTAGAGCTCACATAACAGCATGGGTTGAAAAAAAAGCATTGGACAGGCTGGAGAGATGGACAAAGAAGAGCTATCTGAAATTCAGCAAAGGCAAGAGCAGGGTCCTGCACCTGGGGAGGTACAAGCCCAGGCACCAGCACAGCCTGGGGCTGACCTACTGGGGAGCAGCTCTGCAGAGAAGGACCTGGGGGTCCTGGTGGACAACAAGCTGTCCATGAGCCAGCAGCGTGTCCTGGTGGCCAAGAAATCCAATGGGATCCTGGAGGGCATTAGGAGGAGCATTGCCAGCAGGTGAAGGGAGGTGATCCCTCCCCTGTACTCAGCTGTGGTGAGGCCTCACCTGGAGTGCTGTGTCCAGTTCTGGGCTCCTCAGGACAAGAGAGACATGGAGCTCCTGGGGTGGGTCCAGTGGAGGATTGCATAGGTATTTGGGGAACTGGAGCACCTTATTAATGAGGAAAGGCTGAGAGAGATGGGTCTTTTTATCATGGAGAAGAGGCAACAGAGAGGAAATCTTATCAATGTATACAAATACCCTAAGGGCAAGTGTCAGGAATATGGAGCCAGACTCTTTTCTGTGGTGCCCAATGACACAACAAGAGCCAATGAGCATAAAATGAAACACAGGAATTTCCTCCTGTACATGATGAAGAACTTCTTTAATGTGAGGATGATAGAGTACAAGAACTGATTTCCCAGAGAGGCTGGGGAGTCTCCTTCCCTAGAGATACTCAAAACCTCCCTGGATGCAATCCTATGTAACCTGCTTTAGGTGAACCTGCTTTATCAGGGGATTACAATAGATTATCTTTAGGGATGCCTTCCAATCCCAACCATTCTGTGATTCTGATGCCTGGATATCATAAAAATATAAATTTGAAAAGCTCACACTGGCCTGAGAATACCAGGCTTAGCTTCAACTAGATTTTACTTAAATTCCAGGACATCTATAAAGTTGGATTTGACTTCTGTTTGAAATATTTCTCTCATGAAGTAATAAGGTCTTTCTGTACCTAATACCATAAATCTGATTCAAGCTTTCTGTTTCCCATCAGATAAAGGAGAACTTGAAGGTTTTGTGATTGGTCTTTGTTTCAGCATGATATTGATTCTGGTTTTTGCACCTCTCACTTGTTCTTTGGTGATTAAAAGGTAAGAACAGAATATTGGCTGGAGTTATTAGCAGCAGGCTTGTTTTGCTTAGCTCTGAGTTTTATAGCACTGGGCCTTTTTTGTCATTAAAGGCAACACAACTCAAAAAACACACAACACAAAAGCCACCACACTAATCTCACAGTGAGAGCAATTACAGGCCACTATAAGCTGATTTAAATGGTAAAACAAGTTTGTAAAAAATCTTTAGCTTTTGATTCCTTTGATATCCTTTATCTGACCACCTGCTTTCACAAACACACTTAGACAGAGCTGGGACCATGTCTCTCGTGGGGAAATATGCTATAGATATATAGATTAAGCATGCATTTGATTATTTTTATCCAAGATGTTTCTTACAAACACATTTGGCTATTAAATGTATAAAGTATGAATATAATCACATAATGACAAGGAGCAAAATGTGAATGAAGAACAAGAGAGAATAACAAGGGGTGCCTATAAGATCTGGCAGTAGTGCTCTTATTTTAGGAGAGGAATAATAAAGTATTCAATAATAGGAGATCATAATAGGAGAGCAATAATAAAGTATTCACCTCCACATAATAAAATAAGGTACAATATCAGGGGCATACACTATGACTAAAAGGTTTGCATAGTAATGGGTTCTAATACTAATTTTCTGAAAAAATTAATTGCATACAACCACTCATGTTACAATTTGGTGTTCTAGAACACTACCCTCCCTTTTTCTTCTTTTTGCAAAGCACCAGCCTCAGAAGCTGGAAGCATAGCTGCTAAAGGACAGATGCACAACCTGTGGCTTGAAAGCCACACATCAGGACATAGCCTGCTTTAGCTTAAACTCCTGTCCTTGCCACTGGGAAACAGACTCTGCATGAAGCCTCCTGTGCTCTTACCTTTTCAGATTGTATTTTAAGTTGCACTGTGCTTGACAAGCAGTCAAGAACTTCTGAGACCTACAGAAATTTTGACCTAGAGCAGACTTCATTGTGTTCAACGTAAAAAACCACACTTCATTGTCTGGGCCCAATAGGAAAGAACAGGGAAAAAAAAACCAAAACCAAAACACAAAACAGACAGGCAGCACACAGGGGGCAAGTGTAGCACTACAAAATAGCGCTTAAATTTGTACATTTGTAGTAATATTGAACACTGAATTGAGATAGAGGGTCCCAGTGATGCCCTCATCTCAATTGACTTATTGATTTCCAAGAAAGGACTCACTAGCCAGACAAGCACCCATCTTCACAGGACCAACAAGAGATCCACTCACTTTACAACCACAACCTTTACCTCCAACCACAGCCTTTACCTCCAACCACAGCCTAAACAGAGGCAAAGTACCCTAAATTTAATGAAGTCTAGAATTAATTTCAAAACTGAAAAATACTGAAGCCAACACTAAGGCAGAGGTATGGCCTACTTAAACTCTCAGCCTCTCTTACAGCTTTGTTGAGGCTTTTTTTATGGAGGTGAGATACTCTATGTAATAGCTCCCAGAATGAGCCAAACTCAAAACAGTCAGGAAAGACCAGGAGTTGTGTTGTCTCCCTAGAGTTTCTTCCAGACCACCAGCGCCATTCCACATGGGCTGAATGCAACACTATCTTGCTCTTTGTTTTCATAGGAAAGGAAACTTTTAAATCCAATTTTAAATTTGCCAAGGAGCAAATACTTACTGAAACAAACTTCACCCTCAAAGCCCCAAAGCCCTCAAGGAAGATGGAGGTTTTGTGTAAATGATAGCAAATTAAATGTATAGGTTGAATTTACAGAAAGAGACAATATTGCCAGCACTTTCACAGCTCCTTTGTCATTAAAGAAATATGTTAATCATCATTTACTCAGCATTTTAGTGTAGACTACCAGGTTTGGTCTTCAGCTTTTAATTAGTATTATGCTTAAATGTCTCTGTAGAACACCTTTTTTATGGTTGCAAAAATGTTAATAGGTTATGTGTGAACAGTAATTAATTCAAATGCATGGGAAATGTGAGTAATTTAACCTGATGTTAAATGTAAAATACTTCTTTACAGGCTGAAAATATCCTACTGGCCCAGTGTACCAAGCCCAAGAAACAGCAGTGCACTCCAAGATATGGCAAGTATTCTTCTGACAGCATAAAAAAACACACAGGGGAAATCTTTGATTAGTCTATAATGCTAGTTATTTGTCCTTTCACACTTCACACTAGAAAACATCTAATATCAACTGCTTGGAAGCCAGAGTAATATTCAAAATATTATTCAAAATATAGGATGGGGGGGTTGTTATTTAGGCAAAGGCTGTATATACTTTTAAATTTAATAAAAGTCTCAGATTTTTTTTATTACATTGTAGAGCATTTTAAAAGGCATGGTTCTTAAAGGAACAAATGAAAGCTGAATGGGGGTAGATGGAGTCTAAAGAGAGAAATTCAGTTTTGTATCCAGTCAATTTTCACAAACTCAAACTGATTATTAAGTACAAGTTACTAAAAATACAAAGTAGTGAATTGTGGCCTAATTCCAGAGAAGTATTATGACAGAGGCCATGTAATGATGTTTTCTGAAGTCTGCTCCTCGTTCCTCGGTCCTCCTTGTCTCCAGAGCAATCCAGGGGCTCTGACTGGCAGCTGGTAGCTGTCTGAGGAGCACCTACCAGTCAACAGACACCAAGGTTCAGCAGCATGGTCATTTTTTGCCCACAGCTTTCCCATATGTTTTGGTATGTATCCTTGAATTTCAGCACTAAAGAAGCAGGGAAATCTGCTTGTAGGAAAAAAATACAGCTATTGAGAAGCAGCTGTTGGAGACCACATTATCCACTTTTGCCTATTAGTGGGCTCGTTTGTATCTTCACCTTGTTGCATACCCCCTTTCAATGAGATCTCTGCTGCAGTTTTGGTGACATCTGATACTAAAAGTCCTTCTTTTAGAACACCTAAGTTTATCTCTTAAGTTTCAGACCACCTACAATTGTGTTTTTGTAGCAGGAATTAGTACTGCTTTCCTTTATAAATCTCTTTTTCTGGAAGGCTTGATCTTAATTCAGCACTTGACAATCTAGTAGTTTCTCTCATCAAATTCTATCTCGTCAAATTTTGGACGTAGGCTAGTAGGTGTGTACAAGCCAGATACTGTCCAGAACTGAATATTGTAATGTTGGTAACATGTCAGACACAGATATATCAGATACCAGATATGGCTTGGGAGAAAGCAGAAAAAGCACTGTCGGAGATAGTACAATAAACAATCTACCAGATATATTGTCTAGAAGTAATTTGGTGTTCTTAACAATTAATGAACTGTGGAGAAATGTATTCCCCAAGTAGGCATGGCAAAACAGGGGCAGCGAGCAAATCTTGCTATATTCTGTGCATTCATTCAATTTCTAGTTGTTCTGAGACTGAGCCACACCAGTTCAGTTTAGCAACTTAGCAACTCTTGACAAAACCACTAAAATAATCCTAAAAGGCCAACAAGATGACTTGTTGTCCAGACAAGGAATTACTTAACAAAAAAGAAGTCAATGATACATCCGTGGTACAGAGCAGCAGGAGGAACTGGAGACATTAAGAGACCAGGAAAATGAACTGTGGAGAACTAAAATGATGGTCAGTCACCCAAATCAGTCTTCTGTTCCTCACATATAGGCAAGATTCTTCGAAGATGCTTCTTTTTCACCTATTGCCTCTTTCAGACAGAATCATAGCCCTACTGTTTAGAAAAGACCTCCATGATCATCAAGTCTGACAATTAACCAGCACCACTGTGTTCAGCACTAATCCATATCCCCAGGTGATACATGTACACTTTTTCCAAACACTTTCAGGGTAGGTGAATCCAGTACATCCCTGTACAGCCTGACCACCCTTTTAGAGAATAAATTCTCCTCGTATCAATCTAAACATTTTCTGGTGCAACTTGATGCCCCTTACTCTCATCTTGTCATTTGTTACCTAGGCAAAGAGACCAACTCCACCCGGCTACAGCCTCCTTCCAGGCAGGTGTAGGGAGTGATAATGTCACCCTGATCCTCCTTTTCTCTGGGATAAACACCCCCAGCTCCCTCAGCTGCTCCTCACAGCACTGGTGCTCCAGACCCTGCCCCAGCTCCGTTCCCTTCTCTGCACTCACTCCAGCCCCTCAGGGTCTTTCTTGCAGGGAGGGCCCAGAACTGGACACAGCACTCGAGGTGTGGCCTCAGCAGTGCCCAGCACAGGGG